CCGCTCTGCCTACACCCCTGCTCTGCCTACACCCCCGCTCTGCCTACACCCCCGCTCTGCCTACAGCCTCTGCTCTGCCTACACCCCCGCTCTGCCTACAGCCTCTGCTCTGCCTACACCCCCGCTCTGCCTACAGCCTCTGCTCTGCCTACACCCCCGCTCTGCCTACAGCCTCTGCTCTGCCTACACCCCCGCTCTGCCTACAGCCTCTGCTCTGCCTACACCCCCGCTCTGCCTACAGCCTCTGCTCTGCCTACACCCCCGCTCTGCCTACAGCCTCTGCTCTGCCTACACCCCCGCTCTGCCTACAGCCTCTGCTCTGCCTACACCCCCGCTCTGCCTACAGCCTCTGCTCTGCCTACACCCCCGCTCTGCCTACACCCCTACTCTGCCTACAGCCTCTGCTCTGCCTACAGCCCCCGCTCTGCCTACACCCCCGCTCTGCCTACTCTGACCTTGGCTCACGGCTCTGCTGTGCTTTTTCACTTTTTCATTGACTAAATCATTGTTCTGAGTCTTTGTGTTTTTGTCTAGTCATTGTGATACGGCTACATTAAATATGTATATCTTAGAATTGGAAATTCTGTTCTTTCAGCCCCTAGAATTCCTCCAGAGAAGAGAATTTTCACGACGACACATACACCAAACTGCTTGTTCCAGGATGTGGATGAGAGGTAAGTAGGGTCCTGCGGTCCCCACTGCTCACGCACCCCGCCCGCTGCTGTGCTCCGGGAGTCAGTGCTGTGTTCTCCATATTCTCAGAGTTCAGAAAAGACTCAGTGTTTCCTTGTCGTCTTGGTTACTCAACAGTAACTAAAGAGACAAAGATGAACTTTCTTGCTTTTGACACCACTGCTGGAGACAGGTTGCACAGGTTGCACGTTGTTTTTACCTACATGGTAATCAACAACTGAGCGACTGTGCTGCCCTGCCACACAGTGCCATGTCAGTCAGACCATATACACTATGGGGACCTTATAAGATTGTAATGGATCACAGAACGTCCCCTTACCTATGACGTCACAGCTGTCATAGCACAGCCCTGTAACTGTGTAGTAGATACAGCTGTGCACGGTACAGCACTGGGTGAGAGCTGCAGCCTGTCATTATTTTAGCATGTGCCCCTACTTACGGCCGTGGACAGTGCGCTATGGCACCTGGCAGCAGCCTCACACCTCGTGTGCCCTGCGCCTCTTGATGGCATCAGCTGTCATGCCTGGGACTACCTGTGCCACGTCAGTTCAGCTATGTTTGCTTGAAACTGCCTGCGTAAGGCAGCCTACCGAAACCTTTCCCAGACTGCCCACATCACTAAGGGACACATGACTGTATAGGCAGTGAAATAATTTAGAAATTACCCTAAGAATGCCCTAAGAGCCCACTGTGGTAGCGCACACGTGATCTCTACACTTGGGCAGCAAACATAGAGGACTGTTAGTTAAGACCCTACTTCAGGGGCTGGAGAGAGGGCTCAACAATTTTATTCCCAGCACTCACATGGCAGCTAACAACCATCTGTAGCTCCAGTTCCAGGGGATCCGACACCTTCTGACTTCTGCAGGCATTGCAGGACACAAGTGCACCTACCTACATGCAGGGCACCTACCTACATGCAGGCAATATACTCATACACATAAAATAAAAATAATAAAATATTTTTAAATGGATGGGTTTTTTAAAAAAGACACTACTTCAAAAAGCAAAGACCAAAGTTTCTGAGATGTGAATACTGCGGACGGGCGTTTCGAAGAGCTGATGACTCTGTGGAACCTGCCTTTACCATCCTGTTTAAAGTCTTTTCTAGTGCAAGATGGAACAGTGAGGGATGGGATGCCAAGGGCTAATGTCAGGGTTAAAGGAGGAAGTACCTCAACAGGAACCTGTCTTCCTGCGTGCTGGCCGCTGCTGTGAGGACAGGGTCCCTCCACACCTCTCAGAGCCCCTCAGACCTGTCTCACTGGGTCTACCATGGAAGGTGCTGAGGTGGTCCTGACTGGAATAGGAGCACATGGTCCTGAGCAGGTTCTAGCCCACTATGTGCCTTCTCCCAGCTCCCCCATAGACATAGAGATGGAAAATCGGATGGGCTGCTGAGTGGTTAGGAGAAATGTGTTCTGAGAAAACATCACAGGAAGTGGTCAGAGAAACAGATCCGATGACCTCCTAGAGTCTGTGGAGGATCAGGTCCTGTCTACTTGGTCATGGACACAAGGTCCTCTTTCCTGGAGTCACGCTACACCACCCCCAGGGAAGTTCTGCTCTGTGGGCAGCCAGAGACTGACCCATCACCCCTGGCCCTAGGTTTGGGCAATGTCCTGAAGACCACCTGTGGCCCAGTCACCAGGAAGACAGTGTCAGATACAGGTTCCTGGGGCTGAGTGTGCAAAGCCACCCTAAGAGGCTGCTGTTGCCGCAGAGGTCAGAGGAGGCAAACCACAGGTGTTTTGCTCCAGCTTGTGTGGCAGATGCCCATGGGAGGTAGTCTGCAGAGCTCTGCCTAGTGAATGAAGCCTGCAGACCCCCTCCAAGGAGCCCTTTCGGTCAGGGTCAGGCTTAGAAGCCTGCTACCCTCTTCCTCCCCTCCCCCTGCTCCTCTGACCCTGCTTAGATCTGGGAGGGTGCCAAGAATATTCTGTTCACTCTGTCTAAAAGGACACAGGAGGCTTGAGAGTGTACCTCAGGCCCAGAGAATAAATGACACTCCAGACTCCAAGAGAGCTTCACACCACAGGGACAGGGAAGCTTAGTCTAAGGGTTTGGGCAGAAGGGCCTTCCACATAAGCAGAAGAGGGTTTGAGGGAACGTCTCCAGGGATGTCTGGAAGAGGCTGAGCAGCAGCTGGGGAGAGAAGGCAGCTAGCTGAGCTGGCAAGACCCAGATGGAGACACGCCGATGGTGCTGCCTTAGAGCCACCCTCCAATGACTGAGGACTAACTCAGAACACCAAGAGACCTCCATTTTAGAAACACCTGGACAGGCACTGAGCAAAAGCTTCCAGCAGTCATATGAACTCATGAGGGGGAGCCACAGGAAGTGACTGACACAGTGACCAAAATGATAGAAGATAGACGCTCTGAACTAGAAAAGACATGCTTTGTTTTCAGACTGAACATGTTCAGCAGAAGCCTGCACTGGGCCATATCTGGTCCAGCTGATGAATAACATGAAGAAAAACGATAATGGGAAAAATGAACACGTCGTCGTGATGCATTCTTTCAGGAGGTCTGACACAGCTAACACAAGGCTGTAGCTGACACCCTCCCCGCTGTCACACCCACAGGGACACCAGAGTCCTCACTGCCAAGCTGAACAACTTACTGGCACTGTCAGCCCTACTCTGTATTTCCATTTGGGAGGATTTGGAACCTGTCTCTCTCTCTGTGAGCAGGGTTCCCTGAGATGGCTCTGTTCACTGTCTGCCAGATCTGCCTAGCATTGTATTCCACATACTGATTGCCATGTGTCCCTTGCCTTGCAGGGCAGTCCCCCTCCTGGGCTATCTACCTCAGGACCTGATCGAGACACCTGTGCTCGTGCAGCTCCACCCTAGCGACAGGCCCTTGATGCTCGCCATCCACAAGAAGAGTAGGTCCCTTTCACCTCACCAAACCTTCAGAGGGCTGCTGCTTGATACCCACATGCTCTGATGCGCCCATGGGTCAGACCCACTGGAATACCAGGCCCTGGTGGATGCCCCACCTCTTTGCTCAGGCCTATAGCACTGTCAGCCCTGGGTGGGCTAGGGAGACAAAAACACAGGGCTCCTCTGTGCCATGGCCTGAGTCCTTAGCAACTCAGTTTTACTATTGGTGTCCATGAAGATGGGGAAGGGAGAGCAGCTCAGCTGTGGGGCAGGAAGGTTCTGACCAGCCATGGGAGTGGACATCATAGGACCCCACCAGGCTGAGCCCTCACAGATGGGTGACGCTCTGCAGAGATGCATGTCCTGAAACAGGAGCTGAAGCTGCCTGTGCTGGAGGCCACCCATGGGTGTGATTGAAGTGGACTTGGGACTTGAAGGCAGTGGCAGAGGAGACCCTGGCCAGCACATGTGACATGAATGTTCTGTACTGTATGCACCAGCCCTGACACCTGGCTTTTACCCCCTTAGTCCTGCAGGCTGGTGGACAGCCTTTCGACTATTCCCCCATCCGATTCCGTGCCCGCAATGGGGAGTATATCACCCTGGATAGCAGCTGGTCCAGCTTCATCAACCCATGGAGCAGGAAAATCTCCTTCATCATCGGGAGGCACAAAGTCAGGGTGTGAGTGCTCCCAGGGCTCCACTCTGGGTTTGGGGGATCCTGGCCTGTTCTCACTTCCCACCAACAGGAGGTAAAGATGGGGCCTAGAGACAAGGACCAAAGTCGCCTCCTGCCATGTTCCTGCTGGGAAGCCCCTGGCCATCCCCGGGCTGGCAAGGGGTGGCCTGCCCAGGTGGGAGGAGCTCAGTCAAGTGGGGAATGGCACGGCAGCTTGGGATAGGCATTGTACCAGTGGGGGTCCCAGCCCAGGCAGTATTGGTGCCATACATGCAGGCCAGTGAGGCTCTTCTAATGGGGTATTTTAAAACCTTGCAGGGGTCCTTTGAATGAGGATGTGTTTGCAGCCTCCCCATGCCCAGAGGAGAAGACCCCTCACCCCAGCATTCAGGAGCTCACAGAGCAGATCCACCGGCTGCTGATGCAGGTGGGTGCCACATCGCCACATGAGCACTACCCTGCTGCCACACCTGTCCCCACAGGTCTGCTCGCGCACATCCATGTGTCATTCTCTGAGCATCCCTAAGGGGCCAAGTTCAGACAGTCTGGCTGGCCTGAGTACTACCCTCCGGTTTTCCCAGCCCTAGACTCATCAGTGTCTGAGCTGAGTCATTGAGTGAACAGTTGAAGGTACCCCACAGCCTGCTATCCAGCCCCTATGTGATCTCCTTTGGTGTAGGGCTCATTCCCTCCCCAAACACGGTCACCAACACTGGGGACTGAGTGACATCACTCCAGAAAAATCAGTTTAACTATAGTCTCACAACTGATCAGGTTGTCCCTCTTGGCTATAGGATATGGAGTCTAAATGTACTTAAGTCAGTTTATATTTTAAAATCCTTCATAGATCTGCAAGAGGTCTCAGCTATGCAGTAACCACCTGGTTGAACACATTCCTTTTAGTGAGGTCTCCACGGCTGCATGCCTGAACTCAGGACACTGTTGATGAACAGACAACCCAGGGTTCAAGCCACACTCACCTCCTTGCCCTCTCTATGTCACCTTGAGCAGGCTGGGATCACTCTTCCAGCTTGTGGTGGCCTTTGCTGCACCCGTCCACCATGTTCATAGCTCTCTGCTCTTCCCCCAGCCTGTCCCCCACAGTGGCTCCAGTGGCTATGGGAGCCTGGGCAGTAATGGTTCCCACGAACACCTCATGAGCCAGACATCGTCCAGCGACAGCAATGGCCACGAGGAGTCCCGCTGGAGAAAATCCGTATGTCCCTCTCTGTTCTTTCTCCCAAGAAAGCCCACCAGTCAGTGCCTGTCCCAGGTTTGAGAGCAAGATGGGAGGTTAGCCCTCGAGGCCAGGGACTCCAGCGCCTCCTGCCCGCAGCTTGGTTCCTTTGGATTTGCTTCACTGAAGCACCTAACCTGCCATTAAATTGTGAAGCCCGTTATTTAAGGCAGAAGCAGAAACCAGTCTTAACTGGAGAAGGAAGTGTCACTTTCCCTTCACTTGTCCTTCGGGGTCGGCAGAGGAGTTGTATCCAGCTCTCTAGCTCTGACTTTAGAATTTCTGAATTGTGTGGTGGCATGTATCATGGTGAACACTTGCCCAGCATGTGCAAGGCCCTGGGTTCCACCGCAGAATGGGAAAAACAACAAAAGACAAAAAATCACCAAAAAGAGTTTCCTGAATCACTGTGCTGCTGGGCTGATGTGAGTTTTCTGTTCTTACCGCAGGGACAGAGGGAAGAAGGTCTCCTAGAAGGAATAACGGTCATTTTGTTTTTTCTTCAAGGGAATTTCTAAAAATGGTAGCAAGACCCAAACCAGAAGTCATTTTTCTCATGAGTCTGGAGAACAAAAGGAAATAGCCGTTACAGGTAAAAATATCCCCTGGGGTTCCTCCTGCAGAGCCTCTCCCACTCTGGGAAGTCTGGCTCACTTTTCCTTACTAAATCTACATTTGTTCTTAAAAAAAAAAAAGGGAAAAAAGAAAGAAAATAAATTCCACATTCCTATGCTATCACCTTAGGACAGAGTGATGGGCCTGGGTTTCCTGAGTTGTGGTTTCCTCTGCAGGCTGAGGAGGTCACTGCCTAAGCGAGCCTTTCCTTTCAGCAAAGGAACAAGGGCTGCCCAGCTATGTTTAACCTACAAGTGCAGATACTAGTGTCCAGTGGGCCCAGGTCACCCTGTAGGCCCATTGAGGCACAGAATATGTGTCTCTGTCCCCAAGGCCCTGCCTGCTGAGTACACTGGGAACTTTGACTATGGGGACATGGCTTGCGTTCTGGCTCTGCAGAGTGGCTGTGTGACCATGTGCTTATACTTAATGCATGCACAAACTGGCACATACATACACATCCATGTATTGCATGCACATAGCTGCTCAGCAACGTGTCCAGGTACCTGTAGTTCTCAAAGCCAGACCTAGCTACAGTGGACAGTAAGGTGCTAAATGTGAGGGACACACCAGTGAATAGGACATGGCTCTTTGCTTGAAGTTCTGGTGGAGGATAGGATGTGGTACCTATGGTAGGCACAAGAATAGACTCCACAGCCCAATGCCTGGGCAGCCACTGCTGTACAATCACTGTCACCCTGGGTCACATTTGAACATTGGTCCTGGTAGCACAGGCCTGTAATCTCTGTTACCCAGGATAGTAAAGCAGAGAGATCCCACATTCAAGGCAAACCTAGGCTCCATGGCAAGTTTAAGACCAGCTTGCCTGGGTGACTTAGTGAGACCTAACTCAAAAACTTAAAAAGTAAAATTCAAAGGAGAGGTGGGCTGCAGGGGTAGGCCAGGAGAGCACATTCAGCATGAATAGGACTCTCTTCACTCCAGCCTGCCTTACTGGGAGCTTGAGGCAGTTGGTGTCTCATTGGCCTCATAGTTCAAGGTGTTAAAACATGAACTCCCGGGGCTGGAGAGATGGCTCAGTGGTTAAGAACACTGGGTGTTTTTGCAGAAGACCTGAGTTCGAATCCCAACACCCACATGGCAGCTAACAACTGTCCATAACTCCAGTTCCAGGGGATCCGACAGCCTCTTCTGACCTCCACAGGAATTGCACGAGACAGGTGCACTTATCTACATGCAGGCAATACACGCATACACATAAAATAAGTATAATAAATATTAAAAACAAAAAACATGAACTCCCCACCCTGAGCTCCAGTTGCTGGGGATGGCCCAGGCATGTGCCCCAAAGAAGCATGCCTTGTCTTCGTTTCAGGTCACTCCAGGCGCCTCAGACTCCACAGCTGTCACGCCTGCGGGGCTGCCGGATGTCAGACTGTCACTGGGTTCCTTACCTCTATTTTATGAATCCCCAGCCCTGTCTTTGCAGGGAATGATATATTTCATAAATATGGAGTATTTTCTATGGCAGAGAAGGATATTAAATGAATAAGTAATTTTATCTTTTTTTAGAAATGCAAAGCAGCACCCCTGCCCAGGCAAAAGCTGCCCCCACTGTAGAGAGGGACAGCTCAGGCTCCAGCCTACCCAAGGCCAGCTTCCCTGAGGAGCTGGCCTACAAGAACCAGCCTGCCTGCTCCTATCAGCAGATCAGCTGCCTGGACAGTGTCATCAGGTACATGGGCCCTTCTGACCTTCCCTGCCCTCAGGATCATTGGCACTCACACCCTCCTATGTAAATGATGTCCTACAACGCTCTCACACAGGTACCTGGAGAGCTGCAACGAGGCTGCCACCCTGAAAAGGAAATGCGAGTTCCCAGCCAACATTCCCTCCCGGAAGGCCACAGTCAGCCCTGGGCTGCACGCTGAAGGTATCCTGTCCATCCTGCACTTTGAGTGTGTACCTCCCTGAATCTCTAGTGGTAAAGTCAGAAGTCATTTTAAGCTGTAACATACCCCTTCTTCCCTCCAAATCAATTTTGTGTGTCTTTGTGAATACAGTATAAAGGGGTGTTTGAGACAGGGGTCTCACTGTAGCTCTGGCTGGCCTGGAACTCACTATGTAGATCAGGCTGGCCTTGATCTCACAAATATCCACCTGCTTCTGCCTGGGATTAAAGGCATGGACCACTGTCACCACTGAATGTAAAGTTTTTTTTTTTTAATTTTTGTTTTTATTTTTTTAATTTAATGTGTATGGGTGTATTGCTTACATGTAGGTAGGTGCCCTTGGAGATCAGAACAGGGTGTTGGATCCCCTGGAACTGGAGTTACAGATGGTTGTTAGCCACCTTGTGGGTGCTGGGAATCGGACCCGGGTCCTCTACAAGGGCAGTCAGTGTTCTTAACCTCTTAAGCTCTCTAGCCCCGAGTGTAAAGGTTTTAAATGACCAATGTAGATGAAAAGTCAGCGTCCTTCTTAGACACTACAGGTCAAGGTGATTCTGGGCTTTGAGAACAAGGACCTGGGAGGCTGCTGGTGGTCTGGGGAAAGCCCCTGAGCTCCACTCCCTCCTCCAGCTGTACCAGCCTGTACTGTTCTGGGCAGGCACCTTCCCAGTGTGTCTAGCAGAGCCATTTTCTGTGGATACTAGCATGCCCCAGGACTGCTTGAGAGCTCGGGCTCCTTAAACACCGAATGCTGCTGACAGTCACAACCAGGATCAGAAACATGTCAGCAGTCTCAGCAGTTATCAGGAGGGTGTTGAGTTGGAGGCCAGCCTGGACTAAATACTACCACTTTCAAAAAGAGTTGGGTGTGGTGGGACACGCCTTAATCCCAGCACTTGGGAGGCCAAGGCTAGCACATCACTGAGTTTCAGGCCAGCCTCGCATCATACACACATGCACATGCACACATAATAATAAATAAATTTTTATAGAGAAGTAGGGTATCCCACTTTTGAAGGAAGTGGGCAGTCATTTGTGGAGCAGAGCGAACAGCCCAGACTACTCCTGCTTCCCAGCAGAGAAGCCATCAGCACACAACAGAGGGCTGTGGCTCCGGGAGCTCACAGCTGTCTCCTCAGATGCCTCCCTCCCAGAGGTCGTGGGCTGTAAGTGTGCCAGTCAGGTTACCCTGCTTCATCATTTCCTCTTCGCCTCTCTCCCATGGATAAGCACGGAGGACAGGCTGTCCAGCACCCATGCCCAAGTTTTTGTGGGGCGGATGTGTGCCACCACGTGGGCTCAGGATCCCTGCCTCTGGGCTCCTCCTTGGCTGAGCAGTGGCTTTAATCCTGCTTCTGTCTTCTCTTATCAAGAGGCGGCCCCGCCGCCGTCCAAGGTGAGCAGCCACGCAGAGGTTCGCGCTCGCTTGAGTTCCCTGACGCTGCCAGACAAGGCTGAGAGCGTGGTGTCCCTCACCAGCCAGTGCAGCTACAGCAGCACCATCGTTCACGTGGGGGACAAAAAGCCACAACCGGAGTTAGGTATGCTGAGGGTCCTATGAGCGGATCAGAAGCAGTCTGATCCTTAAAGAGAAATGTTGGAGGCTGGGGGTGGTTCCGAGGTGAGAGCACTTTCTATGACCCCCTGAGAACCTGCGTTCAAATCCCAGCACCCACCTAAAACCTGGCACTCACCTAAAATGCCAGCACTCTGAGGGGATGGAGGCAAGAGGCTCACTGGAGCTTCAGTGGGAGACCTGTCCCAAAGAAGTGAGATGGAGAGTGACAGAGCAGGACCCCAGCACCCCCCCCCCGTCATACACACACAGACTCACACGCACACACACACACACACCACATGTGCACATATACCACACACAATGAGAAAATTTGACTTAAAAGTGAGATTGACTGCCACATTAAACTTTATGTTTATCCAAGTTTACCAGAAAAGTCCTACCGTGCATGGCCCAGTAAGAGAGGTTTAGGTGCTCACAGTGTGGGTGTGACTAGCCGGGGTCCAAGCACTTCCCTGCTGTGGTCCCTACTGGGCTCTTGTGCCACCTGGTGGCAGTTGTCTGCCCTAGCTCCTGTCTCTCAGATGCAGGTCCCACTTCTAACCAGGCATGTGTCCTTTTCTCTGCCTAGGCCTGCCCTCCAGCAGACAGTGAGGTCAGCAGCCCTCCCTACGAAGGAACTAGAGGCACAGCACATTGTAACAAGACTGAGTTTTCTTATTAGGATGAATCTTTGAGGCTGGGGTGATAACTCAGTAAAGTGCTGACTGAGCAAATGTAAGGCCCTGACTTCAATCCCTAGTACCCACAGAAAAGCCAGGCGCAATGGCCTGCACCTGTAATCCTAGCACTGGGGTGCTGGAGACAGGAAGTTCCCTGAGACTCACGGGCCAGCTGGTCTAGCTGAATTGGCAAACTCCATTGAGAGACCCTGTCTCAAAAAATAAGGTGGAGGGGGCTGGAGAGGTGGCTCAGCAATTAAGAGTACTGGCTCGACTAGGATTTGGTTCCTAGCACCTACATGGCGGCTAACAGCCGTCTGTAGCTCCAGAACCCTCCTGACCTTCGCAAGCGTTGTACGACACAGGTGCACTTACATGCACGCAAGCAACACACTCATACACAAAACAGTAAAAAGATTTTTTTTTTAAAGGTGGAGAGCGACTGAGAAAGGCATCCAGTGTGAGCTATGACCTCCATGTGCATGCTCACTCCTATACATAAAAGTGCACACCCATGAGCACGTGTATATACACATACACACACACAGGGAATCCTAACCTGTTCTTACTGGAAAGGAAATGATGAGAAACAAAGCATCTGTCAGAGAGTCTGCTCCCACACCCCTGGCAGGCATGCCCAGCCCTGCCCACTCTGTAGGACGCAGAGTCATGATGACCAGCCACATTTGTGGTCCTGGGCCCTGGAAGATGCAGCATCTTGACCCTGTCCCTTGGGTAACAAACCTGAGGGTAGCCTTAGAGTTCTTCGGGCCCAGGGCTCCCAGTTTCCCATCGCTCAGAGGCCTGAGTCCTGGGCCCACTGGAGCTGAGTGCTCTGGGAGCCTCTCTGCCTGCTGCTGGGACTTTCTTGGAAAGCTGAAGCAGGCATGGGAAGTGTCACCCCTAATCATGGGCATCCGGAAGGAACTGGGTGTGGGTGGTCTGTACTGAAGAATTAGAACCTGTCTCTTATTACAGAGACAGTAGAAGATGCGGTCAGTGGGCCGGAGTCCCTGGATGGTGCACCTGGTGGCCTCAGCCAGGAGAAGGGGCCGCTGCAGAAGCTGGGCCTCACCAAAGAAGTGCTCGCTGCACACACACAGAGGGAGGAGCAGGGCTTCCTGCAGAGGTTCAGGGAGGTGAGCAGGCTTGGCGCCCTGCAGGCGCACCGCCAGAACTACCGAGCCCAGGCCAGTGAGCGAGGTGAGTGGTGACAGCGTCCAGCGCATGCTCAAACACCTGGCTCTTCTTTTCAGTTTTTCTTTTAAGCATTTTGAGAGAGTCATGCTTTACAGCCCTGATTGGCCTGGTGCTCACTGTGTAGCCCAGGCTGGCCTGGCACTCACGGCAATCCTCCTGCCTCATCCTTCGTAGTAACTGGAATTGCAGGTGTGGGCCATGCCTGGCCCAAAACTGTTCTTGAGAGGACTGCATGCTGGTTTCAGACTGTGCATTGTGCCAGATCAGAAGTGCTCAGATGTGACAGTCACTGCCCCTGTGCTGGTGACACAGCCCAGGGACGCCCCTGAGAATGTGGCCTCATGTTCCCAAGGGAACAGTGCTATGAATAGTTGCAGAGTCTGAGGCTATCCTCAGCAGAACATGGGGTCAGGGATCTTGCCCATACCCAGACAAGGCCTTGGGATAAAAAGAGTTTTCCCACAAAGGAGCGCGGTGCTGATGGGGCAGTGAGTGGCTGGCTTATGGGGACTAAGGGGTGATTTATTCCCCCTTCTAGTAGAGGCACCTTCCTGGCCTGACTGGACTGGGGCTGCCTTGTTGACCACCTTTGAGCTGAGCCATGGATCTGAGCTGAGCCATGACCTGTAATCCTGGGTGCTTAAGTCCAGGATGAAATAAGATGAACTGGTTTTTCCAGGGCTTTCTGGAGTCTGGCCACTTGCCCACATTCCCATCACAGGGCCTGGCTCCTGGGTCGACCTCCTTTCTGTACCTGAGGGAAAGGGGTCTACACTGCTCACACTGGGCAGAGATGCCACATCTTCCCTTAGCTCTGGGCTCTGGTTCAGGATCACAGCTAGTAAGCCCAGGAGACACACCAGCAAGACCAGCCCCACAGAACTCTGGCGGAACACTGACTGACGGGAATTCAGAGAAGCTGTGACCTTAAGGGTGGTGTAGTTTTCCTTTCCTGGTTTTTCTTTTGGTGCGGAGGATTGAGCCAGGCTCCCACACAAGCTGCCCTCCCACTGAGCATGCCCAGTTAGGACTGCCCCTTTTCTCACCGTCTACCCCACACTCAAGGCTGTTACCACACATGGGGATACTCTGCGGCATGAGAAGAGGGAGCCCTCCCCAGTCCTAAGCACACCCACCCTCTGCAGAGTTCCAGCCCCACATACCCCCAGACCCAGCAGTTTACGCAGTACACATTGCAGGGCAGTCCTGCCCAGACCCAGACATGGCATACTAAGAGCTTAGCATTTTAGCCACTGTTCCATCCAGGGGGAAAGCATACCAGCAGGAAAAAACAACAAAGAGAGGCAGAACCCTAACACCTTCCCTTGCAGAGTAGTGTGCTTGAACTGGCCTGTCTTGACAGGGAATAAAGGTGTGACTCTTGACTCAGCTGACAGATGTTATTTTGCATGAAGTGGGAGGAAGACAGGTTCCTGCCCCCACCCCCCAGTGTTCCTTCTGTTACTGATGCATCCTGCATCCCAGCTACAGAAAGCCTAACCTCAGCAGCATATATAACTGGGGAGAAGGGATGTGTTCCTAAGCAAATGTGACTGTGTTGGTCAGCTTCTCATCACTGTGACAAAATACCTGACAGAACCAGCTTATAAGGAGAAAAGGTTTATTTGGGCTCAATTCCAGAGGTTTTTTTTCAGTCCTCGATTGCTTAGCCCCACTTGGGTCGGTGACAGAGCAGCATACCATGGCAGGAGAAAGTGGATGGGGAACTGCTCACCTCACAGAGGCCAGGAAGCAGAGAGATGGGGCAGGAGCTGAGAGCCAACATCCCCTTCACAGGCCCCCAGTAGCCTAACTTCCCCCTTGATGAGGCCCCATTTCCTGAAGGTTCCACTACTTGCACACTTGGGCCAGCAAGTAGCCCAGGATGCTGCAGTCATCCCCAGTTCTTTCTCCGGCTGCTGTTCAGGCTCTGTGGCCGGCAAAACAGGAAGCATCTCTTTAGGGAATAGCGGTGACAGAGCTTGGGGAACTGGACTGGGTAGCTGAGGTCAGCTGCTCTGCCTTTCCCTACATCAGTGCAGGCTTTCCCTAAATATGGGGAAACAGCAGAGGATGGCAGATTTTTGTTTCTGTGATTTTATTTTGGACAAAGAACCTTTTAAAATTTACTTCTATTATTGGGGCTGGAGAGATGGCACAGCAGTTAAGAGCACTGGCTGCTCTTGCAGAGGACCCAGGTTCAGTTCCTAGCACCCACGTGGCAGCTGACAACTGTCCATAACTACAGTTCCAGGGAATCTGACGCCCTCTTCTGACCTCCACAGGCATTGCATGACACGGGTGCACTTACATGCAGGCAGTACACTCATACACATAAAATAAATAAAAACTTTTATTAATTCTTTGGGAATTTCATACAATGCATTTTAATTGTATTCACCCCAACTCCTCCCCCTAATGCTCCAGGATCCATCCCCTTCACCTCCCTACCCCTCAACTTTGTGCCCTCTTTTTATTTTAATAACCCATTGAGTCCAATTTGTGCCACCCACATACTCCTAGGTGTGGGGCTATCCACTAGAGCATTGTCAACTACCAGGAGCCACACCCTTAAAGAAAACTGTTCCCCCAGAAGCCCTCAACTACCTGTAGTTCTTCAATTAGGGATAGGGGGCTCATTAACTCCTTCCCTCACCAAGCTAGACTGCTGATTGGCTTGATCTTGTATAGACAACCACAGCTGCTGTGAGTTCAGAAGCCTAGTGGCCCTGCTACATCCAGAAGACCGTGTTTCCATCCAGTCCTCCCTGACCTCTTATTCTTCTGGGGTCCTCTTCTGTGATGGTCCTTGAGTATTGTGTGCACACGTGTGTGTGTGTGTGTGTGTGTGTCTGTGTGTGTTTGTGTGTGATATAGGTGTCCCACTTGTGGCTGAGCACTCCACTGACACTTAGTCTCTGCACTTTGACCAGTTGCGAGTTTGCTCATTGACCACCATCCCCTGCACAAAGTAACTTCTCTGATGAGGTCTGAGAGTGGAGAAATCGGTGGGTAGATGTGAATTTAGAGGTAGTTTGATTCTGTGTCCTTTTAGAGGAATGGTAGTAGGTTCACCCCCAAGCATGAGTTCTTGGCTAGGTTTACAGCACCAGGGGCCTATTTCCTCCTGTGGAGTGGGCCTTAAGTCCAGTCAGAAAGCAGTTGGTTCTGTCTATAGCATTCGTACCACTGTCCCACCCAGGGGCATGTCTTGCCATGGGCATATTATTGCAGTTGACAGGGTTCACAGCTGGGTAAGACTATTGGTGACTTTCCCCCGGCAGCCTGCATAGCACCTTCCACTATGAAAGCTGGCCAGGCAGGGTGGAGGCTTCCTGGTTGGTACCAGCTTGAGTTCTGCCTGGTCAAAGAAACTTTAATGCACTTAAGAGAGGACATGGAACTCTGAGAAGAAAGGGAGGAATGTGGCCCTTTCATTTGAGGGTGTGCCTTCAAGTTGATGGAATTTGGTTTTATGAAAAACCTAATATTTCGTCTCAGTTTCCCTCGTTGGCCGTGGACTGAGAAAAATTCTGTGTTGGACCCAATGCTGTGGAATTGAGAGGTGCCATTAACTATCTAGCATTTTACACTCTCTGTGAACTGACATAGTAAGGCTCATGGCCATTTTAACTCTAATTGTTTTCCCACATTCTAGCTGCCCCAGGACTAAGAAATGCTTCTGGGATGGATTCGTCCTGGAAAAAAACTGGAAAGAACAGAAAACTGAAGTCAAAACGGGTCAAGACTCGGGACTCCTCAGAGAGCACAGGGTCTGGGGGACCTGTGTCCCACCGGCCTCCACTCGTGGGCCTAAACGCTACAGCCTGGTCACCCTCGGACACATCCCAGTCCAGCTGCCCCTCTGCACCCTTTCCTGCCCCAGTGCCAGCTTACCCCCTGCCTGTGTTTGAGGCACCTGGAATAACGTCCACGCCAGCACCTCCTGAGGCTGCCCACAGCAGCTTCACCGTGCCAGTTGTGCCCATGGGCGCCCAGCCTGATTTTGCAGTGCAGCCCCTGCCATTGGCTGCCCCCTTGGCTCCAGTGCTGGCCTTCATGCTGCCCAGCTATCCCTTCCCACCAGCGAACCCAAACCTCTCCCACGCCTTCTTCCCCGGCCAACCTCACTTTCCCGCCCAACCCACATTTGCCTCTGAGATGACCCCTGCCTCCCAGGCTGACTTCCCCAGTCAGACCCCTCTGCTCAGACAGCAATGCACTTGTCCAGTCACCCCTCCGGCAGCCACAGTGACTTCAGGCAGGGCGTCCCCACCACTCTTCCAGTCCCGAGGCAGCAGTCCCCTGCAGCTCAACCTGCTGCAGCTGGAGGAGGCACCTGAGGGCAGCACTGGAGCTGCAGGAACCTCAGGGACCACAGGGACAGCAGCTGCTGGTCTAGACTGCACACCTGGCACCTCTCGGGATCGGCAGCCAAAGGCACCCTCAACGGTAAGGCTGCTCTGATGCACCTCCTCCGTAGGAGGTAGCAGGCAGCACAGCTGGTATCCAGCACACACCTTCATCTCAGAGGGGCTGCTAGATCTGTGAGTGGTTCCTGCCAGCCTGGAGTTCTGGGCTTAAACAATAGCATCTTTGTGGAAATGAGTGTTTTCCAGTTTCACAGTCCTCGGAGTGGATTATTTGGAGCTGTGTGTGGAGACCTAAATGAAGGGTCACAGATTGTGCAAATGAACGGCTGGAAAGCAGCGTGTGACTTTAGAGAGGATTTATGGGCCTCACTTTGTTGTTTGAGACAGGGTCTCCCTGTAACCCAGCTGGCCTGGAATTCACTACGCAGACTAGGATTACAAGGATCCTTCTGCCTTCTGAGTGCTAGGATTAAAATTGCCCATCTGCCTCACATTTAAAAAAAAATTTATATATATATTGGGAACGAACCCCTGTCCTCTGCAAGAGCAAGTGCTCTTAACCACTGAACCATCTCTCCAGCCCAGGTCTCATATTTTTAACAAGTTTTCAGTAATCCCAGCACTTGGGAAGCTGAGGGTAGTGATCTCTGTGAGATCAAGACTAGCCTGGTCTACATAGTGAGTTCCAGGCCAGCTAGGGAGGCCTTGTCTCAAAAAAAGAAAGAAAGAGAAACATTTAGTAAAGCACAGCCAGGTGAGAACCCAGGGTCAGTGCCTGCATTTTTACAGAGCATGAGGGCCTGCGTGGTGGGGTCCAGGCCTCCAAGGCTCACAAGGATGAGCTGTGGGCCCAGAAGCCAGTGTTAGCTGGTATCTCCTCCCTGGAGCCTTGAGGGTGGGACTCCCCCTGCTGTGGGACTCTTTCCCAGTTAATGTGTTTCCAGAAGACTAGGTATGCAGTGGCACTAGCCCAGGCACAACCCATGGAGGAAGTTCCTGGAGGCGGGGACTAATGCCTTCTCGGGGCTAATGCCTTCTCGGGGCACTGCTGCTCCTGTTCAGGAAGTGGGTCCTTGCAAATGGGTATTGGTTCTCCTTGAGCCTCTCTGCCCTCTGGGACACTAGGACCCAAGATGCTCCCTAAGCCAGTCCTTTCCCTCACTGCCTCAGTCATGGGGTGGCTTGATGCTTAGGAAGCTAAAGAGCAGCATAGAGCTATTTCCCCTGGAATCTGAGCCCTGCTATCTAGTGTGACTTCCTAAAGCCACAGAACACCAGCCACCCTTTCCCCACAGTCCTGTAACCACAAGATCTGCTCATGATGCATGAAGGAGGGGTGTGTGCTCCATGAAGGGGCTTTCGCACATAAGCCATGCAGCATACTCCCTCTGCTCCAGCCTACACCCCCCGCCTTACTGTGTGTGTTGGTGTCTGTTGTCCCATAAGCCACCCAGGGCACTCCCTCAGCCCCACTCATTCCACCTAGTGTCACTGCCTGTTGTGTGCGTGTGTTGTCACTAAGTAATCGGTGGTGTCTTTTCCCTGTCTCTAAAGTGCAAGGAGCCTTCCGACACCCAGAACAGTGATGCCCTCTCCACATCCAGTGACCTGCTCAACCTCCTGCTAGGCGAGGACCTGTGCTCGGCCACGGGCTCAGCATTGTCAGGGAGTGGGGCCTCTGCCACCTCCGATTCTCTGGGCTCCGGCTCATTGGGCTGTGATGCATCCCGAAGTGGGGCAGGTATGTTTGTGCCAAAGGCACAGGTGTGTATTAGCCAGTTTTGAATGTACCTGGAAGATTATCACAGAATGGTATACCTCCAACTATTCATAGACAAACTACCTCCTGCCCAGTCGGTGATGTAGCAAGCCCTCACCATAAGAGTTCAATGTCCCTGTCCTATCTGTTGACTTCCCATTTCTTTGTTTCTGAGGGCCTGTCCCCCTGCCAGCCCAGCCCTTGGGCTCCCTAGGTATTGGTTTGGCCTCCTGAGTTAGTCACACACGTGCAAACATGTGACTACCTTCGAACCCTTACTGGCAGAGATCATCCAAGTGTGCCCTGGATCCTCCAGGGGAAACTACACATGCCACCCTCAAACGCCCAATTCTCCTCCATCCTGAATTGAGCTCTCTCTTACCTGCTCATAGGCTTCTCTGTCCAGGGCCACCGGCTGGGGAGGGGACACATCAAGCCACTCCCTCCCACTTAGGACACTTCTGTGGGTTTCCAGAATCAACAGACAGCAGGGATTTTGGAAGAAGGTCAGGGTTCTAAGCTAACGCCCTGCCTCAGCTCAGGCCTACCCCAGGTGGGAATCACCTCCAAGGTGTTGGAAGATACCCTGTATTTAGATCATCCAGATCATCCGAGAACTGGAAAATGAAGGGGAAGCTCTGCCAGCACAGGCCCTCTACCTAACAAAACTCCAGCTCTCCAAAATTGCCACAGCTCCACATAAGCACATTATGTGAGGACTGACTTCCTACGTCAAGATTGTAACCATCTACATTTCCTGTATTTAAAGGCAGTAGTGACACAAGTCATACCAGCAAATATTTTGGAAGCATCGACTCTTCGGAGAATAATCACAAAGCAAAAGTGAGCACGGACACGGAAGAAAGCGAGCAGTTCATTAAGTACGTCTTGCAGGACCCCATCTGGATGCTGATGGCCAACACAGATGACAGCGTCATGATGACCTACCAGCTGCCCTCCCGGTAACTGTCACCACTTCTGAGAAGCCTGGACACTGGGGTGTAGGAGTCCCCAGCACCAAGGTCATCCAGGCAGGCAGGATGTCCCAGGGAAAGCTTTCTAGACTCAGCTAAGGCAGCAGAGAGAAGTATCTTCCCTTGGGTGGCCCCACTAGGCCAGGAGCACCCTGCTAGCCTGCTAGGGGCAGTTGGAGCCCTGGCACTAGCCTTCTACAGCCCCACACTCAGCTTTACCACACATTGGGCCATCATTGCCATCTGGACTTTGTTGCCTCTCATACCTCTGGGGTATATATAATATCTGCCTGCGAGTTGAAACTAAGGGTCAAGGTGGGTGACCAGCCCATATCTGTGGTGACCTTAGGTCTGTGCCAGGCTTCAAGTAGAGGTCAGGCTTCTCTGTAGAGGTAGACAAGGTCACCACCCTTGCAGGGCAGCCCCAGACAGGGAGGCTGAGGGAAAGGAAGGGTAACTCCTGAGGCTGCTAAGGCCAACAGGCCTCTGGTCAGTATTCAGGGGCCTGAGGGGCAGCTTAGGGACAGCTGTGTTCTAGGCCAGGGTTGGCCCAGGAAAGGAGCAGCATGCTCCCTGAGTCTGCATGGTAAGTCTACTAGGCTGACCACACAGTGAGAACCAGCCCAGGGCTTTAGGCCGGCCCTGTAGATGGCTAGTTCCCACAGCTGGTTCAAGAAAAACTGAAGTCTTGACCTTGGCTATCATTACGAGAAAGACCACAGAGATTTGCTAAGCGGATCAAGTTGCCTTAAGCAAGATGATAATCATCTATAACTGTCTCATCAGTATTGAAAGAACTGAGAAGAAATGCGTAGTCTTAAAGTCCCTCTGCCACTGTGGAGCTCACCTCCTCCTAACTCTTCACAAAGGGATCTTGAGTCCGTCCTGAGGGAGGACCGGGAGAGGCTGAAGCTGCTGCAGAGGGCCCAGCCCCGGTTCACAGAAGGCCAGAGACGGGAGCTGCGAGAGGTCCACCCTTGGGTCCAGACTGGGGGTCTGCCTGCGGCCATCGATGTGGCGGTGAGTTTGCAGAACCTGTCTCTAACAACACTAACGTTCACCACAGGGACCAGGCATGATAGTACATCCCAGCACCTGGGAGGCTGAGGCAGGAGGATTGGATTACAAATTTGAGTCTAACTGTGGCTACATAGGGAAACCCTGTCTCAAAGACAGAAAAGAAGGTTGTGGAATCCTCTCCTTTCAACATGGCTTCCATGTTTGAATAGCTGATCGAATGGTTTGCTGAAATGGGAATGGTTTCCCTTTCTACAGTCCTGATTTCTGTTTATAACACAAAACACTCTCTGTCCACCCTGGTCTTTCTGCCAGTGGCCACTGGTCCTGAGAGTTCCCCTCAGGCAGTGTGGCCTCACTTCAGTACTGCAGCATGGGGGCAGCCACCCTTGTCTTCAGGACCCTGGAGCTGTAGAAAAAGGGGTGCAGGCAGTGACTCCCAGGGCTCCGTCTACAGTTGCCAGCAGCTCCAGTGCCCAGGAACCAGGTGTCTCCTCTGGCCTCTGGGTTCCCCTGGTTCCCAGCTCCATGTGGTACCTCTCTCTGGTCATCTCCTGTCACAACTCACAAGAACTAGCTCTCATCTTTGGGGGATGCTATGGTGAGCGCGCTGGGCTCTCGGGGTCCCTGCGCACACTCCCGGAATGGCACGGCGGGTCTGCGGGCTTCTCCGCCGCGCGCCTGGAGGATGGCGGGTCTGGCCCCGCGGGCTTCTCCGTGTCTCTGTGGGTCTCTGCTGCTGGAGCGTTGTCCAGCCAGGTCCCACCCTTATTTCACCCGTGTACTTTCCTCAATATGCGAGTTCCACCGGCTGCTAGAACACGCGGGAAAGTACGGGGCGGCTGAAGCTGGGATCCGTGAGTCGGTGATGGAGGAATGCTGCCCCCCGGGGAGACTAGATTGCAGGCAGGAGACACAGACTCAGTCCAGTCAGGTTCAGTGCTACAGTTCTTTATTCCAAGTCTCAGTGACCCAGTTCCTGCTCTAGCTCCAGCTCCGCTTCTAGCTCCAAATTATTGAGAGAAGACTAGGATATTTTTATACTGTAGGGGCAGTGGTACACTGGATCACGCGGGAGAGCGCGAGGCGGCTGAAGCTGGGATCCATGAGTCGGCGATGGAGGAATGCTGCCCCCCCTAGAGGCTGGATCAGTAGTAAGAGGCAAGACTCTGCTTAGTCCGTGTTACAGCTTTTATTAAGTGTTCAGCTCCTAGCTCCTAGTGATCCAGCTCTCTATTATTGAGAGAAGACTGGGATATTTTATACTGTAGGGGCAGTGGTAAAAGTATAGCTGATAGGTATTTTGGGGATGCCTCATTTGCGTGTGGAAATGGGCTCCTGCCAGGCTGCTAGACTGTCAGACTACCTGAAAAATCACACAGGAAAGCATGGTATTTCCAGAGCCAGAGGCCATGTTTTCTATGGCGGCTCCTTCAAAGGAGAGTTAGGAAGATGCCAGGTACTCTGCTGAAAGGAGTCATCTGCATATGAAACCGAGCCCGTGGGCCACCCGGACATGGAGAGACTACGACTTCACAGCAGGGGTTCCCAACAGGATGCCAGCTGTACCCATGCCCTTCCCAGCTCACTAGAGGGACAGGGCCCATCTTTACAGGTTACTGACCTTGGGGTCATCCAGGACATGCTTCGTCTCCTACTCTATCAGGTCATTAGCAGATCACACTGCTGGGCCTTCAAGGCAGAGGCAGGTACTTCTCACCAGCTACAGCGTGTCCCCACCACAGTGTTGGACCACATGGCCTGTATGGCAGAATAACATCACACCCGTGCTCACTGCTCCCCCTTGGTCCCCCAGAGTCAGATCATGTATTTCCACTTAAATCCCTCCCAGCCATGTCCCTTCTCAGCCAGAACAAATGGGTACATGACCACACAAATCTGTGCCCCCACCTCATCTCCCACTTCTCTTCCCTCACCCTCCCCTGTAGCTGCCCTTCTTGTCTGTTCCCAGACCCATCAGGCCAGGTGGGCCCCAAATCTTTGCACTCAACCCTCCCTGACTGGGAATCAAGGAAGTCCTCTTTCCTCCAGGGAACCTTTGTCTCACATGCTTCTGTGTTAGTTATTGGTGCCACAAAGCCCATGACTCCAAACCCAGAGGCTTTAGCAGGGCTCATGTGTTGCCTCATGCAGTCCTCTTGGGTCAGGAACTTGAGAGCAGCGTGGCCAGCCTGAGGCTCTGGCTCAGGGTCTCTGTGGAGCTTTCGTTGTTGTTTGTGTGCCCTGTGTGTGGGGTTTTTGAAACAGGGTCTCTCACTGGCATAGAGCTTACCAAGAAAGCTAGACTAGTTGGCCAGCAAGTCTACCAGTCTCTGCCTCCCTGGCACTGGAATTACAGACTGACGCTGGCACACCCAGCTGTTTTTGCATGAGCTCTGGGGGTTGAACTTAGGTTCTAGTGCTTGAAAGGAAAGCACTTTACCAGATGAGCGATCTTCTCAGCCCATTTTCTGGTTTTTGTTGGTTTATTGTTGTTGTTTTACGACAGAGTCTCACAGCCTAACTGGCCTGGAACTTACTGTGTAGTCAGGCTGACCTTGAACTCAAGTCAGTACTCCTGCCTCAACCTCCCAAGTGCTGTGATTATAAGCATAAGTCACACGCTTTGTAAAGTTGAAGGCAAAGATTTATCTGAGGCTTCTGTTATCTGAAGGCCAGAGAATCCACCTCCTGGGAGGCTCTCTCACAGGCCTGTTGGTGCTGGCTGCGGCAGGCCCCCTTCCCTCACTGTGGGTACTGAGGCATCACCAGGAGAACAGGAGGAAGCCATGGTGCCCTGAAAACCCAGTCTCAGAAGTCACTCACTTCCCAAGTCCAGCCACACTTAAGGGTGCTGGGGGTAAAGGGGTGACCAAAAATGTGGCCCTGGCAAAGACTGCAGCCACCCAGTGGCCCCCTTAGTTGTCCTCCATATACTTACATGACCTGTTCCACTTGAGCACAGGCCATGGAGCATTTCTGATGGACATCCTCATCCACTCATGACCAGGAGCCAGCTGCCTAGGGCAGGGTTGCTCTGTGGGCAGCAGTCCCCAGGTGCATGGCTGACAGTCACTGGACCTTGCTACATGAGAACAACAGCAAGGGTTTCAGCTCTTGCACTCGTGCTGACATTACCTTTTTTCTTTTAAGGAGTGTGTTTACTGTAAAAGTGAGAGAAAAGGTGACATTTGCCTGCCATACGAGGACAGTCCTTCCCTAGGACTCAGTGGCGCCTCAGATACTGAAGAGGAAGAGAGTGGCAAACCACTGAGCTCCAGGAAGAGGGCACAGACGTAATGCCCCCCAACCGGCCAGTGATCTACATTAGATGGTGCTGGAAGAGAGGAAGATCTTCATGCTTGTTTCTAATGAAATGGATATATACTTATGTTGCTTTTTTGTTTTAGAAAAAACAAACCATAGTTTTCTGGAGATGTAACTTAAAACTGTGGAGAGATTTAGAAGAAATACATTTTTGTATTTAAAATATAAGTATGGAGATTGGGGGATGGGGTGATATTTGACTTGTCATTGAACTTGAGGAACACTGAGACATTGTGTGTGTCAGGGAGGCCGCCTCAGGGCTCTCAGAAGTCCCTTGATTTCGATGAGACCTCTTTCCAGTGTACCAATGTCCACTGGCCCCTGTAGGTTGTCCTCAGACATCACACCAGTCTGTGACAAATAGCAGGGAAGCCAGGTAAGTCTCTCAGCTGAGGGCCCAGCTTTCTGGAAATTTTTCAAGGTATGTTTGGATCAGATTGAGGGCTGCTTTTTAATCTAAATTATCATGCAGTCCTACTGGGTGTTTGTTCACCTATCAAGCAGAGAAAATACCTTTCCTGGCATCCACTTAGTGTCCGCGTTATGCATTGTGAAGCGTGGTGTGGCAACTTTGGCTTTGGGTGCTGTAGTGACCGACATTCCAGTCTCATGTGGCTTTTTGCAGTAAGCCAAGTTGAAATGCCTGCTCTGGACTAACAGAGCCTAGTGGTTTCTGTGACCAATGCCATTGGACTAGCACCTCCCTACACACCTTGTACATTTCTGTATGGCTCTTGCATCCCTTCTAGATCATCATGACCAGCTTGTAGAGTGAAGTATATCAGCCATGTCACCTTTCTGCATGGCGGCCTCTGCAAACCAGGCTTTGACTGCCACTGTGGAGACTCAGTGGGGTGGAGCAGGTGTCCCCTCACCCCAACCCCACCCAAACATCAGCTCCCTGCTAGCCAAGCAGGTGCCTGCTTTTGGCAGAGATCAGCCAGTGGCCACTGAGGGCCAGTGCCCCACACGCCACCCTCAGTGTTTCCCACTGTGCAGGGAGCTCAGTGCCCTGCCATACTCTGGGCTGGCTGGCTCTTCAGCTCCATTTTTCAGTAGACCTTCCCAGGCCTGGTGTGGCTTCAGGTCTGTCACCACCTGCCCATGTTGCTGGCACTGAGATCATTGGAACACTTGGGGAGAACGGGGCCTCTCTGCAAAACCTTATGCTGCACCAGACATCCCAAAGATTGTGCAGAAAAGTTTCCTGTTGACCCCTGGTGTGAATGAGGGGTCACCACTGATGAGTCATTTTACTTAAAATTAGACCAAGTCTATGAACCTGAAAGAAGCAGTTTCGCTGGTTCTTTGACGTGGCTCCTGGGGAGGTGGAGCCTTTCCGTTGAAGTTGGCTTTCCTGGAAAAGCCATCTGATGCCTGAATCTTAATCTTATTTGCATAGACACAAGAACTCTTTTAATTAAAGCAACACCACCTTTCACTACCTGTGATAAGGTAGTGACCATATTTTAATGGAAATGTGATTACAGATAGCTGCCTCCTTCAACAGTGGGATCCCAAGGGGTAGATGATGGTCTAAGGCTTCGCTTATGTTACTTAAACACAAACTGCCAAAACCTTCTCTCTACTATCTTGAATGTTTACCATCAGCATTATTTTATGATTATTTAATATATATTTCTTGATTGTTAACTGCTAAGAAGTTGACGTACTAGGATAATTTCGTGAATCTGTTTACAAGATGCCGAGCATCCAGTCCTGTTTTCTTTAGTGTGTGCACTTACACGGGTGTCATGAGACTTTCTCTGTTTTAAACTGAGCCTTCTTTTTAATGTATCCTCGAGAAGACATGTAAATAAGCTCTCAGAGTTTGTGTGATGATTTGTGAGCCTTGCCGGACAAGCGGTTTGTTCACACGCAAACCAAACTTACCTTCACCCAGTGCAATATATTTGTGTGACTGCTTCTGTCTTTTTATGACTTTTTTGCCTTTTAGAAAATTGGTAAATAAAGCAAGTATATTTTTATTTTTAGTTGTATGTTTTGTTTTGTTTGCTATGGTGTGCTGGGGATTTAACATGGGGCCTCATACAACATAAACATGTGCTCTACCACTGTGTTAATACACCAGCCCTGTATATATTTCTAATAGAGCACAGACCAATAAAACTGAGTAGAGATAACATCATCAAAAGAGCTTTTTGCTTTTTTTTTTTTTTTTTTTAGAAAAGAACTTCAGAAATTGTGCACTAGGAAATGGTCAGCTTATCATCCCTTTGTTTTGTTCTTACTGGTCCAGTTCCTGTCTGTGTGCCTCTTAAACTCTCCACTTCCCAGGCCCAATCCACAGCAGATCCTGCAGGGATTGTCCCTAAGGCAGATCTAGCCCAGCATCTCTGCTCTCTTCCTCCTGCAGTCTTTTCCCTTGCAGGAGGGGGCTGTGGTTGCTCAGCAAATCTCCATAGCTGCTCCATCCAGTGGGGCAGCCTTTCAGAGAATCCTCAAAGAGGGACTATGCAATCAGCTCAAGAGGGGGAACAGGAGCCTCTCTGCTGAGGGAGCAGAGGCCCCAAACTCCTGTTCCACTGTGTATTCATTGCTTTGCATATGTAAGCAGAACAAACAATGTGACTTTTACTCAGTACAGTAAGTACTGAGAAAATTTCCACACTTCTAAGTATGTTATTTTGAAGCAAAGAATCTGTTTACTATAGTGAAGACTAGCTTAGTGTAATGGCATTGTGACCAGAACAATGGAATGTTTAGATAGATAGAAAGATAGACGATAGGTAGATGATAGATGATAGATAGATAGATAGATAGATAATAGATAGATGGATGACAGGTAATTATACTACATATATGTTATATATAAGGAGTGTTATCCCCTATAATTTGGGGTAGGGGCACTTTTCTTTTGCCCCAGCATTCATAGCTTTTGCCACGTGGACATTCTTGGCCAGAGGTGCTATTGCATGTGGTCAAGCATGCTTGACCATATAGAGTTTAGGTAGAGAGGTGGCCTCCAACAGCACTTGAGGTAAATCAGTGGTCTCCAACACCTGGCCTGATCCCAGACACCCACTGTCCCTTCAATAATGCCCTTGGTTGTCTATTCCTCCTGGGGTGGCTGTTGGCATGCTGCCCGAAGGACTGAAAGCAGAGGAGTCAGATGGGTGCCATGCTGGAAAAGGTTTTTATCCCCATTAGGGTCAATGCAGGCATCAGACTGCGGGCACAGCGCTACCGCGGCCCTTTCTGATTGAAGGCCCTATCTGAAGACGTCCTCGTCCTCCCTTTTTCCAAACCATGGTCCTAGGGTCTAGAGCAGCAGGATGGTTAGCCCCATGCTTAGCCTCCAGGATCTCTGAGCCTGATGCTTGACTTCAAGCGCTGTTACAGAGGTGTGAAACAAAGTTCTGGAAAATACGGTTTTCCTGAACTGAGTGCCTTACTATACAATCCAAAGGCAGCCCTCTCCTTTATAAATAAACCAAAAGGAAATTCTCTGAGTCTCCTGGGCAGATTGCCCACAAAGTGCCTGGACGTCTGCAGGCTGAGTGCTGCTGCCTTTGTTCCTCTGGGGATTTATGGCCTGCCGTTCCTTCTGCTAACCAGTCCCCCTGTGGCCACCATGGTCCTGCCCAGCCTCTGCTGGCCTCTGTTCCTGGCTCTAGGGTGATCAAAGGGCCCAAATGCTCAGGAAGTCTGCACTCAGGCCAACTTTGAAGGTGGGATAGGCTCCAAAGAGCAAATGGTAGGAAGTGGGTCTGCTGAAGGAGGTGGACAGGAGAGAGGGAGAGCTTGGTAGGCCAAGATGAGGTAGTCAGGCTTCTGGAACAGAAAGTCTGAGCCACCTAGGCAATGGGCCTGCTAAAGGAAGTTGGAGCTGGTTTTACGGGTGGTACTTCAAGCGACCTCCAGTCAAATAAAAAAGTCAATACAAAAAAGCATGTATTGACTCACACCCTGCTCTGTCCTAACACTATTTTCTCAAGAGGAACGCCTGGTTACAGGGAGACATACCCCGAAGTACTTTTTTCTTTCCCTCTAGACAGCGTTCTTCACACCCACACCCCCAACACATAGTGGTCCGAGATCCATGTTCCCTGGCTTCAGCCAAATTCCCTCTCCCAATACCTGTCACCCGTCTTTGTGTTTTTATAAAACCAAATTCATATTGTGCCCTGTAGCCATAATAAGCTTTTCTTGCCTTCTCTATAGATTGATTCTAAATTTAAAACCCTGAACAGTTTTATGGTGCTGTGACATCTCTGCCTGCAGTCCAGTGGCCAGCACCACAGAGCTACAGAAGGATTGATTACCAAGCCTGCGATCATCCTCAAATTACACTTCTTTTCTTGGGCAGCTCTTTGTTTTTCCTGGCATTCCTGGATGCCTTTTATTCTTCACATGCTCCTTTGGCCCACATCTAATTCCCCAGCCAATCAGGTGTTCTATTGGTCTTTCCCAGAGCCTTCCCTCAGAGCCCTTATGCTGGGCCTTAGGAGCTGCATTCTAAAATATGTTTGGCCTTGTCCATTTGGATAATGGGAAAGAGTCTGCAAATGGGGGAGTACAAACAATACTACTAAGGTTATTTTTGCTTCTCTTAAAGCAGTGGAAGCTTCACATTCATCATTTTAAGAGTCTCCTCTGCTGGGAGAAGATGATATCTAAGTGGTAAAGTCACAAGCCAGGTATGACTGGGACTCCACTGGGGTTATCCCTCACCCAGCAGTCTAACCACTCTGAGCAGCTCCTGGGGAGGAGGGGGGCAAAAAACAAGTTTTTTAGCTTGTGGGAAGACTGAGGACAATGGGGGTGAGTGAAATAAAGGGTTGGTTCCCACCCAGGTGAGTGGCCATAGACCCAAGGGAAAGGGTACTCTAAGGGACCTGCACACACAGGAGCAATCCAGAGGCAAAGGGGAGACAGGGCAGGAGTGGGTGATACCAGTGAGGTCACCCTGGGCACCTTCAAATCTCTCACAGAATTCATCATACCTGAAGGCTTTGGAGGCCCCTCTGGAGGGGAGCCACAAGGACTTTGCCAGACCCAACTTGAGGAGAGTAGGGAGTTTCTTACCTAGTCCAGACACCCTGCCCAACTGCTGCAGTGCCCAGCAGCCTTCCAGCCAGACAAGGAACACACCCTCAGTTCCCCTACCCCATCCTGCACTTCAGTTAGGTTCCAGTTAGGGGTGCTGGGAGGTCATGAGGATTCATAGACCCCCCCCCTGAGAAGGGACACAGACCCTGACAGTGCCAGCCCAGGAGGACAGTGCTATGATTGGGTGAAGGCAGGTGCTGCCGAGGGACTAGTGGGGGCTGATGGGGTGCCGGCCTGAAGTGGGGCTCGGAGGTGCCAGGCCTGAGGCTGGGTGTGCACAAAGGCCTGGGGCGCGGGGGTG